CACAGAGTGTGCACACTTTGGATTGATGTGTTTTATGCACTATAATAAATTAAGATTGGTAAAATTTAATTCAAATATATATATATTTTTTTTTTTTTTCTTCACAAATAGATAATTTTTGCAGTGAAGTGTGGAGTTTCACGGGGTGATTTTCTAATTGAATTGTTTATTTTTATTTCTCGAGGTACGTGTTTGGAGGAATAATTTTCATATTTGGAGAAAAAGATTGAAATTTGGACACTGTATTGGACTTATTTTGGACGTATTTTGGACTTATTTTTGGATTTCACATTGGACTATTTGAATTGGGGAATTTGTTATTTATTTATTTATTGTATTTATATTATTTGTTATATTTAGGATTTTGAATTTAATTTGGAATTTATCGTATCACAAAAAGGTTTTTATATATAGGAAGGGTTATAACCCGTCAGAATTTTTTTCACCATCTGTGTCCCATTGTGGAGATTTCCCTGCACTTTCTGTCCCATAGCCAAACAGGATGTGACAAGAAATAAAAACACTTTCGGCTGTTTATTTAATGATGAAAAACTCCATTATTACCTCTGACAAGCTACAGTAAAACTGAGTTATGAATATTTATACTTCCTCCATCCAACCAGTAGGAGGTTTATTGCCACTGGTGCATGCTGGGGGAAATTTGTGTTTGGTTACTGTTAGCAACTGCAATTCTCCTCCTTGTCTTGCTGACCTAACCCCTTTTATGCGGTGTTGCTTCACACTCCTTTGTGCTTTACAGACCCTGGTTCTCTAGATACGCCAGAACCAACATGCACTGCTTTGAATAACTCCAGACCAGGCTCAGAACAGCTAATGTACTGTAACTTTACTGGAGAGATTTCAACATTACAATCCAATACGAACAAGTCCAACTAGAGTTGTGTTGCTGCCCAGGCATACCTTTATGAGGTGGTAGTCCATGCTGGTAGTATCCATAGCTTGGATATCCTCTGCTCATGAGTCAAGCCAACGACAGGAACAGGAGCCTCAACCTCACCCTTCCCCCTTGTTATATCACAAGTGGGTCGGCTGGGACTAAAAGCCCGGGAACTGAGCACACATAACTTTATCCTTTCCCCAGCCTGAGCCAGCCAGTAACTTAATAAACCAGCATTAGCACAACCAGGGGCGGACTGACAACTCATGGGGCCCTCGGGCAATAGGGGATCATAGGGCCCCTGTGTCCTTGTCCAAACTCAAAAAAGCCTATGAAAAAGGTACCAGGGTCATCTCATGGGGCCCCCTACTGACCCCGGGCCCTCAGGCAGTGCCCGAGTTTCCAAATGGTCAGTCCACCTCTGAGCACAACTTGCCTACAAGTTGACCATTGGGGGCTTATCTTCAGTTGCTTTTTTGAGCTGTTGGGGACTATAGCCACGTCTGTCTCTTTCAAGCCACCAGTGAATGATCTGTGACAAATTAAAATTGATGCATGTGGAATCTTGTAAGTTTTGGGGACTAGGGCCATGGCTTGGGTCACCTTGTTCTTTGGACGACCTTCATTCACCCTCTGTAGAATTTATATTTGTAGTCACTGATTGAGGATAGAACCTATCTCTAAAAATAAAGTCTGTCTTGCCGTGGGTGGGCTCCCTTTCTCTGGACATGCTTTTTCTCCTCACAAAATAAACTCCGAGTTTAGTCATACGGTTGTAAATAGACGTGTGTGATATTTTCAGTCCTCTTTAAAATATTTTCTCATAAAACTCTGTTCTCTTCGGTGTGACAAGCTATATATGAACTACAGTATACATTCCTAGACACAAGCATTTATTCCTCGGTCTACTTTTATCACCAGCACACGGCTCTGTGTATAAACTTGTCAGTGCTCAGCTTCACCCACCTTCAAAGCTTCCTTCCCCAGACATTGTTCACAAATGTGTTTTTTTTCCATTTACCTCAGCACAATGTTATGTAACAGGATCGGGGCACTCCCTGATGAAGAGGATGCTGGGGGTCAGAACGTCCAAAACCTTCAAGGGCACGTTGGCAAATCATCCTGACAATCCATTGTCCCAAAAAGAGATAATATGGTTGTTTTTATTTATTTTGCAATTCTAACAAAAGACAGATTGCTGATGAAAGTCTTCAGGGGGAAAGATGTTTTTTTAAGTTTTGTGTCAGAAAAAAAAAAATATTAAAGTAGATGTAACCCAATCGCTAAATTTTCATATACGCTTTAACACATTAATGTCATTTTAAAAATTGCTTACCTGTGTAGCGTTCTTTACAGTAATTACTGGTGATCCTGCCTTTAAGCATCATTCAACTCATTTCCTGTGGATCAAGGGTGTCATGGACATACCCTGGGGGTGTGTGTGTCATCACGTCACTCCTGGGCTTCTGGCAAAATGTAGTTCTGCTCTCTGCATCAGTGAGGGCCATCCAGCATTGAAGAAGAGGTGAAGGGGAATGATACGTATCACTTGACCATCCAGTAAACATCTCAAAAAAGGTATGTATACAAATTAAATAGAAAATACATGTGGGGTTGGGGCTCTCAGGTAGGAGTACTTAGGTGAGTGCTGGAGTTGAGCTTTAAATAGCCAAATGCTTTAATATATGGTTTTGTAATGTATAGAAGACTGGAATATATATTTTGTCTTCTTAATTGGTCACTGTCTTTCATGTTAGTTTAGAGCAGGGGTGTCAAACTCAATTTCATCATGGGCCATATCAGCTTTATGATTGCCCTCAAAGGACCGGTTGTACCTGTAAGACTATGTAGCACCCTCCTCAGTAGCTAGGGGGAGCTAGAGTTCTAATTGTTAGTTAGAAGAGGGTGTGATAGCTACCAGGGTCAAATTTGGATCAGAGCTGAGAGGTTCTGCAGACTGGCTTTCTGGGACTTCCTCCTGCACTAAAATTTTGGATAAAGTTTTAGAAGCAGTGGGTGGAGGTAAGGAGTGTGTCAGGAATCAAGGAATGACCAGAAAGGTGTGGACTGACACAGGGAAACGCAGGTTTCAGGTATAGTATAATAATACAGGTTATTATTAGCCACCCAGATATATATATATAAACGCACAGTGAACAAACCAACCTTCCACTAATCTTAGTAGGTGCAGGAACACAGGCGTAGTCAGGGCTGGAGAGGTGGAACGGTCAGGCCGGCCGTAGGGTTCTGTAATGACCGTTTGGTGGTACCTCTAGTGGTCCCCAGGACAGGATTCCCCAGGGCGCGGAGTCTAAGTCCCAGCCTGCTTATTCACCAGGGCCCCTGATGGTGGGGATGGACTTGGAGCAGACAGGAACCAGGTCGCGGCCCCTGAGTACACCTGCTAGTGGTAGAGGGATCCGCCAGAGGTATGTGCAGGTACGGCTGGATCCGTGCAGGATGGATGGATGGCAGAGTAGTTGGCGTGGTCAGACGGGCCAAGTCAGCAACGTGCGGGCAGCAAGGTACCAAAGGAGCAGGCAGAGAATAGTCAAGGTCACAAGCCGGGTTCAGTAACTCACGGACAGCGCGGTACAGGGGATCAGACAGAAGGATGGTCAGGCAAGCCAGGGGTTCAACAGGAGATGGTCAGCAGAGGTCAGAATCAAGCCGGGTCAGCAACGAAGCAGGAACACAGGATACCAGGTACAGAGGCTCATGGGAAACCATACACCAAGGCCCAGAGCACAGGCCTGGTCATGCCTTATATACACCTTTCTGCAATCAGCCTAAGGTTTGGCTGATTGTGAGCTTCTGGCTGCTAAGAGCACCCGCTGGTCAGCTCTGGTACTGCAGCCCACACGGCAGGTGAGTCCCACCACCAGTGCTGAGAGCACCCGCTGGTCAGCTCTGGTACTGCAGCCCACACGGCAGGTGAGTCCCACCACCAGTGCTGAGAGCACCCGCCGGTCAGCTCTGGTACTGCAGCCCACACGGCAGGTGAGTCCCACCACCAGTGCTGAGTCCATTCCTGACAGAGTGGCTAGTCTGCACTCCCAATGGATTCTGGCCAATCCCCAACAGGATGCTTGCAAGGGGCCAGGACAGGCCTTAAGAGTAACCAAGCCTGCTGAGCAGTAGGAGAGTTCGGATGGAAGATGGAGAGGAAATGAGATGTGTATCACCTGAGGTTAGTCACTTCCCTGGGTATATGTAATTGGTTTACAACCACCTATGATTGCCATCCTCAGCTCTGTTGCAATGTGTTTCGTGAAGGGAAGTGCGTCCTTTCCCTCCAATCAACTTTCAGATCTCCCCTCACTGAGATCTGCATAGTGTAACTTCAGCTCCGCACACCCTGCTTTCCGAAAGCTCAGACAAGCTGTATAAATTCTGCACTTTGAATGAATGTAGAGAAAAGAGGTCTTCAGATAAACAGGTACAACTTATATAGATTTGTTTCATCTCTGTGTATCACCTGAGGTTAGTCACTTTCTTGGGTCTATGTAATGGGTTTACAACCACCTATGATTGCCATCCTCAGCTCTGTTGCTATGTGTTTCATGAAGGGAGGTGCGTCCCTTCTATCCAATCAGCTCTCAGATTTCCCCTTACTGAGATCTGCATAGTGTAACTTCAGCTCCCCACTCCCTGCTTTCCGAAAGCTCAGACAAGCTGTATAAATTCTGCACTTTGAATGAATGTAGAGAAAAGAGGACTTCAGATAAACAGGTATTATTATTATTATACAGGATTTATATAGCGCCAGGTACAACTTATATAGGAGATTTGTTTAATCTCTGTGTATCACCTGAGGTTAGTCACTTCTCTGGGTATATGTAATGGATTTACAACCACCTATGATCGCTATCCTCAGCTCTGTTGCTATGTGTTTCATGAAGGGAGGTGCGTCCCTTCCCTCCAGTCATCTCTCAGATCTCCCCCATTACTGAGATCTGCATAGTGTAACTTCAGCTCCCCACTCCCTGCTTTCTGAAAGCTCAGACAAGCTGTATAAATTCTGCACTTTGAGTGGATGTAGAGAAAAGAGGACTTCAGATAAACAGGTACAACCAGGGGCGGACTGACAACCCATGGGGCCCCCCGGGCAATAGGGGATCATGGGGCCCTTATGTCCTTGCCCAAACTCAAAAAAGGTACCAGGGGCATCTCATGGGGCCCCCTACTGACCCCGGCCCTTGGGCAGTGCCCGAGTTTCCAAATGGTCAGTCCACCCCTGGGTACAACTTATATAGATTTGTTTCATCTGTGTATCACCTGAGGTTAGTCACTTCCCTGGGTATATGTAATGGGTTTACAACCACTTCACGTTTTTTTTAAAGAGTTAATAGGTAAATACAAAAAATGTTACTCTCTAGGATAAAAAATGCCCTCTAGTGATAAATCCAAGGAATACAGCAACCTCCGCTTATCTGTATACAAAACATCCTGACAAGTTGGCATCTTATTACATTAGCAACGCTGCATTCAAACACTTTGTGAATATTTAATGCCAAAAATATGCACGTATGCATTTTTAATGCTGCTAAAATATTCCAAAATAAAATAATGCACATAAAAAATAAATAGCATCTGCAAATATTTGCACGCCGATGCTCCATTAGCCACACTTATTATCTTATACTTTCGTAAATTTACCCCATTATTTGCTATGCTTCAGCAACCTCACCAACTCTTAAATGAGTACATTACTTGGTGACAGCCAAATAGCCATCTTCCAAGTGTGGATAATGCTCGCAACAAAACAATAGCTGTTGTCAAAAAGGCGCATGCAAATTAGTATACAAATGCAAGGTTATCATGCATACATAATTGTTATTCGCCAGAATGGCAAAATAAAATTACATATATAAAAAAAAAGAAAAAACTGGGTCATCGGCATAGAAAATGCATGCTTTTCAGACTAGGTTAAATGGATGCTTGTTTGACCTTTTAAAAGCATTTTCAGACGATGTTGTTTATCGTTTGGAGTCACTTTGCCATGTCAGTGTTCAGTCAACACGTTGCAAACAATCAACTGAAAAAAACAATTACTAGACCCCAAATTACCCGACAGAGGTCTTAAAAACACCAGCTGCCGCAGTTCTGTCTGCTGGCGTAATAGTGTATTATTTTACAAGCGAGTATAGACGTCTGAATTATGTTTGTTGTGATCTTAACTCCTTTTCATAAAAAAGCAAATTGATCATGTGACATTAAACATAGGCTCTTCTGCCCGCGACCTTTCTTCACTCTGCCTGACAACGTGACGCCTTGAAATCCCAGGCAGCGTTACGAAAAACCTGATTTAAATGAAGGCCTTTTGTCTTTCGACTCACTTCTAGGCAGTGGTAGTTATTAGCTAATAATTTTGACATTTGTGATTAAACAAAGCTTTAGGTTTTACGATTTCCATTTTCAAATGCACAATTGATGACATAGATCAAGGACGAAAATGAGGCTTTTTCTCCCCCCCAACACCCGCTAATTATATTTATACATTAACGCGGCAGGGAGGAATGGAATGCAATTCCAACAATATTTTAGGCTAATTGTTTTAAAAATTAATCAGGGCTCTTTATTTTATTGCTTGTACTAAATAACCGTTTTGTGTTTTCATTCGCAGAGTAACATTTTTTTTAACATTACGTATGGTCAAAAATATGTGCAAACAAGGTTTCATATTATTAAAGGGCAACAGCGGTCATAAAGAAATCAATAAATCATACACTGCCGGATCGGAGACAAAAACAGGGGATCCTTTTAAAATGAGTGCTTTTAGGATGGTGGTATTCAAAGGTGGACAAAAAAAGGATGAAGCCAAGCTCCAAAGGGTCCGCCCAAAAAATAGGAGGAGAGGTGGGAGAGTCCTCACAGTGTAGTATGTGGATGGTATTAGTCAGAAGTATATATAGATGCAAGTAGGCAAAAAAGGAAGCAATTTACTTTTGGCAAGGTTGTGACAGACCAAGTGATATGGTAGATGACAACTTTCATGTACAGGTGTGGAGAATACCTCTGTCTCCACGCAGGACAAGCAGTAGGTCACTCTTAATGTCTTGGGGAATCCGGTCCTAGGTCCACATGGGGCAACGGTGGTCAAAAAGAAGTCAATGAATCATATATTGCCAGGTCGGCAACAATCACAAGAGATTCTTTTTAAAATGAATGCTTGTGGGGTGGTGGTATTCAAAAGTGTACAAAGAAAGGAAGAAGACAAGCTCCAAAGGTTCCACCAGAAAAAACATGAGGCGAGGTGAGAGAGCCCTTATAGTGTAGTCCGTGGATGGTATTAGTAGGAAGTGTATATAGTTGAAAGTAGGCAACAAGGAAACAAATTACCTTTGGCAAGGTTGTGAGAGACTAAGTGATGTGGTGGACCCTTTGGAGCTGGACTTCTTCCTTTCTTTGTACACCTTTGAGGACCACCACCTTTCAAGTACAGGTGTGGAGAATACCTGTCTCCACGCAGAACAAAGGGTAGGTTGCTCTCGATGCCTTGGGGAACCCAGTCCTAGGTCCAGACAGTGGTCAAAAAGAAATCATTGAATCATACAATGCCAGATGATAGTCACTACTATCCTATTTAAAATAAGTACTCATGGGGTGGTGGCCCTCAAAGGTGTACAAAGAAAAGATGAAATCCTGCTCCAAAGGGTCCACTGTAAAAATAAGAGGAGAGGCAGGAAAGCCTATGTAATACAGTATGTGGATTGTATTAGTTGGAAATGAAATGACACTTTGCTCCAAGTTAAAGTAGGGAGTGTACAGCTTGTATAACATGTACATTTTCTGTCCCCTCAAAATAACTCAACATACAGCCATTAATGTCTAAACCGCTGGCAACAAAAGTGAGTACCCCCCCGAAGTGACAAGGTCCAAATTGGGTACAATTAGCCATTTTCTCTCCCCAGTGTCATGTGACTCGTTAGTGTTACAAGGTCTCGGGAGTGAATGGGGAGCAGGTGTGTTAAATTTGGTGTTATCGCTCTCACTCTCTCATACCTGTCCCTGGAAGTTCAACATGGCACCTCATGGCAAAGAACTCTCTGCGGATCTGAAAAAAAAACACGAATTGTTTCTCTACATAAAGATGGCCTAGGCTATAGGAAGATTGCCAAGACTCTGAAACTGAGCTGCAGAATAGTGGCCAAGACCATACAGCTGTTTTTCTGAGAGGACAGGTTCCACTCAGAACAGGCCTGGCCATGGTCAGCCAAAGAAGCTGAGTGCATTTGTCATATTCAGAGGTTGTCTTTGGGAAATAGACACAGGAGTGCTGCCAGCATTGATGCACAGGTTGAAGGGGTGGGGGGTCAGCCTGTCAGTGCTCAGACCATACGCCGCACACTGCATCAAATTGGTCTGCATGGCTGTCATCCCAGAACGAAGCCTCTTCTAAAGAAGATGCACAAGAAAGCCCGCAAACAGTTTGCTAAAGACAAGCAGAATAAGAACATGGATTACTGGAACCATGTCCTGTGGTCTGATGACACCAAGATAAAATTATTTGGTTCAGATGGTGTCACGCGTGTTTGGCGACAACCAGGTGAGGAGTTCAAAGACAAGTGTGTCTTGTCTACAGTCAAGCATGGTGGTGGGAGTGTCATGGTCTGGGGCTGCATGAGTGCTGCTGGCACTGGGAAGCTACAGTTCATTGAGGGAACCATGAATGCCAACATGTACTGTGACATACTGAAGCAGAGCATGTTCCCCTCCCTTCAGAGACTGGGCCGCAGGGCAGTATTCCAACATGATAACAACCCCAAACACACCTCCAAGATGACCACTGCCTTGCTAAAGAAGCTGAGGGTAAAGGTGATGGATTGGCCAAGCAGGTCTCCAGACCTAAACCCTATTGAGCATCTGTGGGGCTACCTCAAACAGAAGGTGGAGGAGTGCAAGGTTTCTAACATCCACCAGATCCGTGATGTCATCATGAAGGAGTGGAAGAGGACTCTAGTGGCAACCTGTGAAGCTCTGGTGAACTCCATGCCCAAGAGGGTTAAGGCAGTGCTTGAAAATAATTGGTGACACAAAATATTGACACTTTGGGCCCAATTTGGACATTGTCACTTAGGGGTGTACTCACTTTTGTTGCCAGCAGTTTAGACATTAATGGCTGTGTGTTGAGTTATTTTGAGGGGACAGCAAATTTACATGTTATACAAGCTGTACACTGACTACGTCACATTGTAGCAAAGTGTCATTTCTTCAGTGTTGTCACATGAAAAGATGTGAAATACTGTATATAGATGAAAGTAAGCAAAAAAAGAAAGTTTGCAAAAATGGTTGGGTTTGCTAAAGACCAAGTGATATGATAGATGCAATTTGATGATGAGTACACATCATCACACAGAGTTCTGCCCTTGCTGGCTTCCATGTTTTCAGTAGTGGGGGTGTGTGGAGCTAAACAGACATCACCACGGGCTCCTATGCCATTTGAACAGTCATCAGAACTATCCAGCCTATTTAAAACAAAGAACTGATATTGCTTTAATAGAATAGGTATTTGGCTGAATGATCAGTTGAGGAGTAACTATAACTTAAGGTTTACTGAACTGGTTGAAAACATTCAAACAAATAATGGAAAACGGAAATTGGATGGCAAACAGCATGCATACACTACAGAGTAATACACAACAGATTGTGAAAGCTGCATAAACATGGCCTTTTTACACCATTGTCTCTGTAGCTCAGTTGGGGAAACATGTAGCTGAATAGCATAGTCTCTATAAGATTCTATAACAGAGAGTCTAGCTGAGAATCTCTATTTCAATAAAACATATCAGAACACAAACAGCTACTTGCGTTCATCTTTATAAACAGAGTGTAGACAGGTGCAGTCTACAGTTTCCACTGCAGGTGGCGCTCGTCCATACTGGCATTGAACCTGGAGGAGGAATTCAGGAGAAACTGGGTTTGTCTATGGTTTCCTTGGTCCCCTAGAGTAGTGATCTGGTTGGATGAGCTGGACCCAGGTGACCCTGGTGGCCATCTTAGGTCATGCAAAGTCTTTTAAGCCCCGGGTTTTGGCATGCAGTGGCTAGTGTAGGGATAGGATACCCTTCTGTCAAGAACAGCACTAGTGTTAGGGAGAGGTTCTGGAGGAGTAGGGAAAGCTTAGGACCTATGTCTGCATATTCAGGAAGTTCCC